CTGGAATGAAGGGCTACCAAGCTTGTTCAAATAAATGACCTTGCCTTATATTCAAGGTCACAGGGGTCAAATATTTTTAAAACCTTTAAAAAACTTCTTCTGAATAACTGAGAGGCCTAGGGTGATGATATTTGGCCAGTAACATGCTTGGATGAAGGGCTATGAAGTTTGTTCAAATAAATGACCTTAATTCATTTTCAAAGTCACATGGGTAAAATATGTTAAAATCTTTATACAACTTCTTCTGAATAATCAAGAGGCATAGGATGATGATATTTGGCCAGTAACATGCTGTGATGAAGGGCTACCAAGTTTGTTCAAATGAATGACCTTCATCTTTTTTCAAGGTCACAGGGGTCAAATATGTTTTTAACCTTTAAACAACTTCTTCTGAATAACCAAGAGGCCTAATATAATGCCAGTAACATGCTGGGATGAAGGACTACCAAGTTTGTTCAAATGAATGACCTTGACATATATATTCAAGGTCACAGGGGTCAAATATGTTTAAAACCAATGACTTCTTCTTAATAAGCAAAGGCCAAGAGTGATGATATTTGGCCATTAACATGCTGGGATGAAGGACTACCAAGTGAATGACCTTCACCCTATTCAAGGTCACAGTGGTGAATAGATATTTAAATCTTTAAATGATTTGTTCTGTATAACCAAAAGGTTTAGGGTAATGATATTTTGCCAGAAGCATGCTGGGTTGGAAGACTAAGACTCATATATTTAAATCTTTTAATAGGTTCTTATGAACCAAACACTGATATTCTGCCTGTAGCTGTATTTTAGTCAACATTTAAGATTACAAGTGTGAGATTAATACCAGGTGAGCGATGCAGGCCCATTGGGCCTCTTGTTTTCAATTAGAATATAGCTTGAGTGAGTCTAGGTCCACAGCTAGATACAAGCAGTAATTATATACAGGAGTTATCTCCCCTGATAATTTCTAAATGTTTGAAAGAATAAATAATTTTAAATAAATCGCATTGCAACTGCTTTATTTCTCATATTTTACATTTTACATTTTAATACCAGAATCCCTTGATATATATATAATAAGAAGTTCTAAGGATCAGTTTGCAATTTATTAATTGATGTAAGATCTTGATGGTACTATGTATTGTGAAAGAGTGCTTAGAAAATACACAATGCTCTTACACTAGAATATAATAGGATAAATAATGAAGGCAGGCAGATACTCTGCCTCTATATCCATATCTTATATATTTATAACATATTTCAGAAATTATTTTTCATTGTTGTTCCCTGATATTTCTTTTTGGCCAGCCAAATGATTGTATTTCAGCTCAACATTCCTTGAAGGATTTTGAGTTTCAGTGTTCGAAGGTCAAGGTCACTGATATTTTTTTTTGAAAATCTTTAAAAGTGCTCAAATGTCTTCATTCCTTGAGGTATTTTGATTAAACTTAAAACATCTTGAAGGACTATAACATCTAGGATCAATAACAAGGTTACCATTTACTATATTTTGTGAGTCATTGTAAGCTATCTAGCGTCTTCGTCAAACTTCCTTTGGCATCATTTGTTTTGTATTGATCAAAGTTGAATAATGAAGGGTCTGTATCACTTGCCATGTCTTAAGTTGTTTTACAACAATAATTGCAATTATGGAACAAGTTATAAACAACATAAATAGCACAGAGGGGTTCTCAAGTGTAATGTTATTGAAAACTAGAAAATCCAGAGATAGGTTTTCCCATGCCTTTTCACATTTAAGTTAAAAAATTAAACATTAACTTAGTTGTGAAAGGTGAGTGTTGTAGTGTTATAGCATGTCAGCTAACCACTGTTAGAATGATGCAGATCTTATTTCAATGTAAGAAAGTATATAACACCATATGGCATTCGATGGGCGTATATTTTTCCGCCCCGCGGTACTCTTGTTTACAAATGTAACATAGTTACATGACTCATTGCTCTTGACAGTTTTCGGTGCTAGACATATTTTCTTTCTCTATGAATTTCTTCAATGTTTGACCTATTTCTGTTTGACCTTTTTTCCTTGTTTGACTTATTTCTAAATTACATAGCTCAAAGAAAGTTAAGGAAAATCTTCAAGATCTTTGTATTTTAGTACATGTACCAGTAAAAATATTTTATCAAATTTGATCTGGATTATTCTCAGGCCAAGGAACAGGGAGTTGGAAAGAAGGGATGAGCCCAATAGGGGAAATATAGCATCATAGGTTAGCATCATTGTGCCAAGGGCCTCGATGTTGTATAAACAGAGGACGTGAGGGAGCTATTTACATTTTTGACCTATAACCATGTTTGGCCTGTTAGTCAGGAGGCACGGAAGTCTAGTGGTAGGACGCCATGACCAAAGGGTTGCAGGTACGAGTCGCGGCACGGCACTGTGTTGTATCTTTGTATCTTTGAGCAAGATACTTTACTCCGCTTGTTCCAGTATACTCATCTGTTAATGAGTACATGGTTGGGCAGTGCTAGAATTGTTGAATGCTAGCTGTGAGCGCCAAAATGGCAGCACCGGCTGTACGCTCCCAAGGGAGTTAAGAAAGATATTGGCTGGTTGCACAGGACCTATAACCACGGATAATAATTTGTGAAATGCTTTGAGACGACCTACAAACTAGGTTGTGATAAAGTGGTATATAAAAACCTCAAATTATTATTATTATTAGCTCACCCGGTGCGAAGGACCTTAGTGAGCTTAAGCCGTGTCGCAGCTTCCGTTGTCTGTCCTCCATCGTCGTCGTCCATCGTCGTCGTCAACTTTTTCTTTAAAACCTATCTCCTTCTAAACGCCAAAGAGGATTTCAATCAAATTTAGTCTGAAGCATCACTAGGGGGGGGCAATCATTTCTTAAATAAATGAGGTTGTTTCGACCCCCGGGGCCAGGGAGGCGGGGCCCTGAAGAGGAACTTAGCTAAATTTGCTTTAAAATGCATCTCCTGCTAAACGCCAGAGAGGATTTTAACCAAATTTAGTCTGAAGCATCAGTAGGGAAGGGCAATCATTTCTTAAATAAATGAGGTCGGTTCGACCCCAGAGGCCAGGGAGGCAGGGTCCCGAAGGGGATCTTACCTAAATTTACTTTAAACGCATCTCTTCCTAAACGCCAGAGAAGATTTCAACCAAATTTGCTCTGAAACTTCATTGGGAGAAGGCAATCATTTCCTTAATAAATGAGACTGGTTCGACACCTGGGGCTAGGAAGACCGGGCCCAAAACAGGAAAATTACCTAATATTTTGCTTTAAGACGCTAATACCCCCTAATTGCCTGAGTGGATTGTACACAATTTGGTCAAAAACATTATTGAGGAAGAACAAACATTTATTAATTTAATGAGGTTGATTTGACCCCTGCGGTCCTAAGAAATGGTACATCTAGATTATCATATTCTATGGTGTAGTTTTCATAAATTGTTAAAAATTGGTTTCTAGGTTAATAAAGCCTTATAGTTGAATGAAAATTAAAGTACTGTCTAATTACACCCTGTAATATAACATATTACTTATTTTAAAATCTGTTAACATGGTAACTCAATGGAGGCCCCTGATTAGTTGAAAGTCAGATATTGTGGTCCCAGTTGGGTTAGAACATAGATCTTGTCTGGTTTTGAGGAAATTTCATATAAAGATGCACTAATGCATTCAGTTGTAATGACTTAAATATAAAACAGGTGAGCGATACAGGTCCAATGGACCTCTTGTTATTATTAACATATTTGACCTATTAACATGTTTGGCCTGTGTACATGTTTAACCTAGATCTGTGACTTGTTTTAGCACCTTGATGTAGATATTGAGCTGATATTTGGGAACATGGAGGAGATTGCTGAGGTGTCACAACGGTTGCTAACAATGATGGAGGAGGCAGTCTGTGCTAGAGAGTTCCAGGATATCATTATAGGTTTGTTTGATATACGTAGTTCTTCAGGTGGGAGTGATGACAAAGGTCAAGTTTAGATCTTAGAGCTAGAACAAAAAATATAATGATACTTGTTCAGTATTCTTGATGATGTATACCATTTGGTCAAAGATAATTGTTTATTTTAATATCTCAGGTCCATGTTTCACATCACTGGCAGAAGATATGAAGAATGTTTATGCGCCATACTGTCGTAACCATGACGATGTTATCATGGTCATGGAACGTGTAAGTATCCATAGCCAGAGGAAAATTAATAACTTTTTCAAAATAAATCTTGTATGTTGATAAGCAAATAATGTTTTTCTGTATACAATACAAAACGATTGCTGTTGTACCATACAAATCTATTGCTGTTGTACCATACAAATCTATTGCTGTTGTCCCATACAAATCTATTGCTGTTGTACCATACAAATCTATTGCTGTTGTAACATACAAATCTATTGCTGTTGTACCATACAAATCTATTGCTGTTGTACCATACTAATATATAGCTGTTGTACCATACAAATCTATGGATGTAGATATACCATACAAATCTATTGATGCAGACAAACCATACAAATCTATTGCTGTTGTACCATACAAATCTATTGCTGTTGTACCATACACATCTATAGCTGTTGTACCATACAAATCTATTGATGCAGACAAACCATACAAATCTATTGCTGTTGTACCATACATATCTATTGCTGTTGTACCATACAAATCTATTGCTGTTGTACCATACAAATCTGTTGATGGAGATATACCGTACGAATCACCATACAAATCAATTAGTGTAGACATACCATACAAATGTATTGATGTAGACATCCATACAAATGTTTAAATGTACCATACAAATCACCAAACAAATCAATTAGTGTAGACATACCATACAAATGTATTGATGTAGACATCCATACAAATGTTTAAATGTACCATACAAATCACCAAACAAATCTATCAATGTAGTATACTATAAAAAGTACCATACAAAGCTATCACCATTCAATTAATTTTGTTACAGTACCATACAAACCCATCCATTAATGAGTACTTTGAGAGAATGCTGGACATCCTACGTGAACAGAGTGTCGTGTTTGATGTGGGAGCTCTCCTTATTAAGCCTGTACAGCGTATCCTCAAATATCCCCTCCTGCTGAACGAACTCATCAAGGTAAACTATATATAGGTATCCTTAGAAATCACCTCCTGCTCAATGAATTCATCAAGATAAACTATATACAATGTATAGGAACCCTTAGAAATCCCCTCTCCTTTCAGCAATATTAATGTTTCTTTTATTTACCCCTCAAAACAAAAGTTCTAGCAGATTCCGCAAGTACGTATGTTACACTTTTTGTCATCGCTCTACTGACTTCATTCCTTAACAGAATTTCTTGAAACTTCTTACAACTGTTCAGTATGATAATACCTTGAACAATTTCGCCTTTCATGTTTCTAGGTTGAAGGTCAAGGTCACTGTTACTATTTTTAGCTCTACCGACTTCATTCCTAAACAGAATTTCATGAAACTTAATACAAGTGTTTGGTATGGCAATGCCTTGAACATCTTCTTCTTTCGGGTTTCTACGTTGTAGGTCAAGGTTACTGTTTCTATTTTTAGATATGTATTTTTATCGTCGCTGTAGCGATTTCATTTCCTCATACATATGTCACTATGTGTGAATGGAAGGAGATATGTATCACTTGTGATGCCTTGTTTAAAATAATATTTTATGAGTTTTCACTCTGGAGATCATTTAGAGAATAATCATTTTGGTTCTGATAGACTATTTAGTAAGCAAACTCTGATGTTGTTTATATCTCTTGTTGACAGACAACAGAAGAGGGCCACAAGGACAAGTTAGAACTACTTGATGCCATCAACACCATGACAGATGTGGCAGCAGCTATCAATGAGTACAAACGCAGGAAAGACCTGGGTAAGACTGGGTTATATCTCTGAAATGTTTGTAACTTTAGGGGTGGAGAATAGCAGTTAGTTCACCTGGCATAAAGTGTTTGTGGATTTCAATGGTGCACCATCCTTAATTCTTCTTCAACGTCATGGTGCAGTGATTGTGCAGTCCTTTGTCTATCAATTTTGTTTTCGAATGCTTGCTTTTTGAAAACTGAATGATCCATATTGGTCCTAATATTTGGTAAGAAGATACCTAGGGCGGTACCTGGAATGGAGTGCTATGATGTTCCCTCCTATAATGACCTTGACCTACTTTTGATGTCACAGGGATCAAAAATGTTAAAAATTTGCAATAAATTCATTTAAAGAATGAAAAGGTCTAGCTCCATGATACTTTTATGTAAACCTGTAGTGCAAAGGTTTTTCTACTATATTGTGTAGATTAAGATCAACTTGGGCACTGATAAGGGCCAAAACTTAACGTCGCCTGTAACTTGTAGTTACCCTGTTGTCAGAACAATAGGACTGGATGGAGTGTACACCTAGTTAAGGTTAGGACATTTCACTGTCTTTGGGTAACCCCATCATTTGTGTCAAGCACATCTAAACATGTCCAAGTAATCCAGTGTTCTGAATGAACAAACAAACACATCCAAACATGTCCAAGTTATCCAGTGTCCTGAATGAACAAACAAGCACATCCAAACATGTCCAAGTTATCCAGTGTTCTGAATGAACAAAGAGGCACATCCAAACATGTCCAAGTTATCCAGTGTTCTGAATGAACAAACAAGCACATCCAAACATGTCCAAGTTATCCAGTGTCCTGAATGAACAAACAAGCACATCCAAACATGTCCAAGTTATCCAGTGTCCTGAATGAACAAACAAGCACATCCAAACATGTCCAAGTTATCCAGTGTCCTGAATGAACAAACAAGCACATCCAAACATGTCCAAGTTATCCAGTGTCCTGAATGAACAAACAAGCACATCCAAACATGTCCAAGTTATCCAGTGTCCTGAATGAACAAACAAGCACATCCAAACATGTCCAAGTTATCCAGTGTCCTGAATGAACAAACAAGCACATCCAAACATGTCCAAGTTATCCAGTGTCCTGAATGAACAAACAAGCACATCCAAACATGTCCAAGTTATCCAGTGTCCTGAATGAACAAACAAGCACATCCAAACATGTCCAAGTTATCCAGTGTCCTGAATGAACAAACAAGCACATCCAAACATGTCCAAGTAATCCAGTGTTCTGAATGAACAAACAAGCACATCCAAACATGTCCAAGTAATCCAGTGTTCTGAATGAACAAACAAGCACATCCATACATGTCCAAGTTATCCAGTGTCCTGAATGAACAAAGAGGCACATCCAAACATGTCCAAGTTATCCAGTGTTCTGAATGAACAAAGAGGCACATCCAAACATGTCCAAGTTATCCAGTGTTCTGAATGAACAAACAAGCACTTCCAAACATATCCAAGTTATCCAGTGTCCCTTGCGCTATATACTACATCTGTACAGGGATCAACTTTTGAGAGTGTCCTTACCTTTTGTCTCTCAAATTCCAGGGACTATTTTTTAAATATAATGGTGACTGTTCTACAATGATACTTCGTTGTTTTTGTTGACATGTATGTTTAGACACTGTCTGTCCATTACAGTTTACAAGTACAAGAAGATCACTGATGAAACCCTTGGAGACAAACTGGCCAAACTTAGCCTTCACTCACTGAAGAAAAAGGGCAGTCGCTTCAAGGGCCGACTATCGACATCTATAGGGCTGTCCCCACAAGTAAGAGAAAAGCATCTGCATAGCAAAATGGGTCAACAACCTTTATATATAAACCTATAAGGACTACATGTTGTATTAAGTCTATCAGACAACCAAACGAGCTAAACATTTATAAAGAACTAGATTTAATCTTACAGAAGAGATATCAACTATAAACTTGACAAATGCCTGTGGTATAAATATGATAAAAGGTGTACGCTAAGTATAACTATCCTCTGTGTAAAGTTGTTTGCTCACAGACTAGTGAAGGGCAGGTGTATCCACAATGTTCACCTATCTGACCCAACAGGTATCCACAATGTTCACCTGTCCAACCCAACAGGTATCCACAATGTTCACCTATCCGACCCAACAGGTATCCACAATGTTCACCTGTCCAACCTAACAGGTATCCATAATGTTCACCTGTCCAACCTAACAGGTATCCACAATGTTCACCTGTCCAACCTAACTATTATTGAACTTCAAAATACATTGTACAGTCTACATTCAAACCAACTCACAATAGAAGAGTATTCCTTAGTAATACTTATACTGATGTCCAACCCACTTCCAACTATAAACTAACAACACCTACTGCTGGCGGCAGTATTCCTTAGTAATACTTACTACATACTGATGTCAAACCCACTTCAAACTATAAACTAACAACACCTACTGCTGGCGGCAGTATTCCTTAGTAATACTTTCTACATACTGATGTCCAACCCACTTCAAACTATAAACTAACAACACCTACTGCTGGCGGCAGTATTCCTTAGTAATACTTACTACATACTGATGTCCAACCCACTTCTAACTATAAACTAACAACACCTACTGCTGGCGGCAGTATTCCTTAGTAATACTTACTACATACTGATGTCCAACCCACTTCAAACTATAAACTAACAACACCTACTGCTGGTGGCAGTATTCCTTAGTAATACTTACTACATACTGTGGTCCAACCCACTTCCAACTATAAACTAACAACACCTACCGCTGGTGACAGTATTCCTTGGTAATACTTACTACATACTGATGGCCAACCCACTACCAACTATAAATAACAACACCAACTGCTGGTGGCAGTATTCCTTAGTAAAACTTACTACATACTGATGTCCAAACCACTTCCAACTATAAACTAACAACACCTACCGCTGGTGACAGTATTCCTTGGTAATACTTACTACAAACTGATGTCCAACCCACTTCCCACTATAAACTAACAACACCTCCTGCTGGTGGCAGTATTCCTTAATAATACTTACTACATACTGATGGCCAACCCACTACCAACTATAAACTAACAACACCTACTGCTGGCGGCAGTATTCCTTAGTAATACTTAGTACATACTGATGTCCAACCCAATTCAAACTATCAACTAACACCACCTACTGCTGGTGGCAGTATTCATTAGTAATCCTTATACTGATGTCCAACCCACTATCAACTATAAACTAACAACACCTCCTGCTGGTGGCAGTATTCCTTAATAATACTTACTACATACTGATGCCCAACCCACTTCAAACTATAAACTACCAACACCTACTGCTGGTGGCAGTATTCCTTAGTACATGTAATACTTACTACATACTGATGTCCAAACCACTACCAACTATAAACTAACAACACCTACTGCTGGTGACAGTATTCCTTAGTTATACTTACTACATACTGATGTCCAACCCACTACCAACTATAAACTATCAACACCTACTGCTGGTGGCAGTATTCCTTAGTACATGTAATACTTACTACATACTGATGTCCAAACCACTTCCAACTATAAACTAACAACACCTACTGCTTGTGGCAGTATTCCTTAGGAATACTTACTACATACTAATGTCCAACCCACTTCTAACTAGAAACTAACAACACCTACTGGTGGTGGCAGTATTCCTTAGGAATACTTACTACATACTAATGTCCAACCCACTTCTAACTAGAAACTAACAACACCTACTGGTGGTGGCAGTATTCCTTATTAATACTTACTACATACTGATGACCAACCCACTACCAACTATAAACTATCAACACCTACTGCTGGTAGCAGTATTCCTTAGTAATAATTACTACATACTGATGTCCAAACCACTTCCAACTATAAATAACAATACCTCCTGCTGGTGGCACTATTCCTTAGTAATACTTACTACAAACTGATGTCCAACCCACTACAAACTATAAACTAACAACCCCTACTGCTGGTGACAGTATTACTTAGTAATACTTACTACTTACTGATGTTCAACCCACTTCTAACTATAAACTAAAAACACCTACTGCTGGTGGCAGTATACCTTAGTACATGTAATACTTACTACATACTAATGTCCAACCCACTTCTAACTAGAAACTAACAACACCTACTGCTGGTGGCAGAATTCCTTAGTCATACTTACTACATACTGATGACCAACCCACTACCAACTATAATTAACAACACCTACTGCTGGGGACAGTATTCCTTAGTTATACTTACCACATACTGATGTCCAACCCCCTACCAACTATAAATAACAACACCTACTGCTTGTGGCAGTATTCCTTAGGAAAACTTACTACATACTGATGTTCAACCCACTTCTAACTAGAAACTAACAACACCTACTGCTGGCGACAGTATTCCTTAGTAAGTATTACTAAGTAATACTGTCACCAGCAGTAGGGGTTGTTAGTTTATAGTTGGAAGTGGTTTGGACATCAGTATGTAGTCAGTATTACTAAGGAATACTTCCACCAGCAGTAGGTGTTGTTAGTTTCTAGTTAGAAGTGGGTTGGACATCAGTTTGTAGTAAGTATTACTAAGCAATACTGTCACCAGCAGTAGGAGTTGTTAGTTTGTAGTTGGAAGTGGGTTGAACATCAGTAAGTAGTAAGTATTACTAAGCAATACTGTCACCAGCAGTAGGAGTTGTTAGTTTGTAGTTGGAAGTGGGTTGTACATCAGTATGTAGTAATTATTACTAAGGAATACTGTCACCAGCAGTAGGAGTTGTTAGTTTGTAGTTGGAAGTGGGTTGGACATCAGTATTCCTTAGTACTACTTACTACATACTGATGTCCAACCCACTTCCAACTATAAATAACAATACCTACTGCTGGTGGCAGTATTCCTTAGTAATACTTACTACATTCTGATGTCCAACCCACTTCTAACTATAAACTAACAACACCTACTGCTGGTGGAATGATTTCTAAAGCAACAAAACTTCATGATATAAAGCATTGTTCTGTTGAGATGTTTCAATTGAGAAGTTACCCTCACCTCCGAGTCAAAATAACACTATAAAAATGGCTGGCTGCCAACCAGAAGGAACAGACAACTGACAACAAGACTTGATGTTATTGCTGACATGATGTGTAATGCATTATATTGCTTTGTATATATAATTATTTCCACCAACTCCAGTGATTGTCAGGGCTTGTTATAAACCTATTTCAAATTTCAGACTAAAGATGAAACCTTTGACAAAGAAGAGAGCCGTTTCAGGTTATTGGAGAAAATTGTGAGGATTTTTGTACGAGACATACAGGTGTACATGGAACAAGTTCAGGTAGGCATTAACGATGGAATCACAACCTAAACTTCTGGGTAGTAATCCATATGGAGCAAATATTGTTATATGAATTCATTCTTTTTATGGTAGCAGTGTACAGTAGCGTACGGTGGCAATGGGTGATATTTTTGTACAAAGAATAACCCCTGTAATATTACATGTATCAAAAGTTAAAAAAATCAGCTCTAAAATTGGCATATACATGATGAAGTGGACTATGAGGGCTTCACATTTAAAAAAAAAAAATCGAATTTGGCTTGAGACTACATTTTTGGCCATTTACGAATCGGTGTCTACACAACAAAAGCTAGCTTTCCATGTCGTCTATTTTTGTACTCAGCACATGTGTAAATATTGTGAAAAATCCAGTTTGCCGACCTATGCTAAAACGCGGGTATTTCTGTGACCGAGTAGGTGATATTTAATTTAAGACAGGTTTTAAGAAAAAAAATACTACTTGCGTGGGTCAAATATTTGGTTAAAAATCATGTTTTTTTGCATGGTTTTCACAAGTCCCGAATCTGGGGAAATCACTTTTTGAAAAACTATTCATTCTTCTAAAAAAAAACTATTCAAAAGGTAGTTTATAAATATATATATATATATGTAGGTGTGTTGTGCAGGATGAATCCGCTATCCATGTTTATTCGAGACATGCCCATTTATTTTTAGGGTCAAGTCATTTCTACTGTACTCTGCTACCTATGTAGTGTAATACAAACTCAATTTAGCTCATGACATCACTGTACATTTTCCTGATTGAGTGATCTACCGGATTATATAGACATCAGTCTTTATCATCTATGAGATGGTATTGAGCTGGTGAATTATACATCCCTGTAAGGTGTTATAGAGCTGGTGAATTATACATCCCTGTAAGATGTTATAGAGCTGGTGGAATTATACACCCCTGTAAGGTGTTATAGAGCTGGTGAATTATAAACCCCTGTAAGATGTTATAGAGCTGGTGAATTATACCCCCCTGTAAGATGTTATAGAGCTGGTGAATTATACACCCCTGTAAGNATATTTGGTTAAAAATCATGTTTTTTTGCATGGTTTTCACAAGTCCCGAATCTGGGGAAATCACTTTTTGAAAAACTATTCATTCTTCTAAAAAAAAACTATTCAAAAGGTAGTTTATAAATATATATATATATATGTAGGTGTGTTGTGCAGGATGAATCCGCTATCCATGTTTATTCGAGACATGCCCATTTATTTTTAGGGTCAAGTCATTTCTACTGTACTCTGCTACCTATGTAGTGTAATACAAACTCAATTTAGCTCATGACATCACTGTACATTTTCCTGATTGAGTGATCTACCGGATTATATAGACATCAGTCTTTATCATCTATGAGATGGTATTGAGCTGGTGAATTATACATCCCTGTAAGGTGTTATAGAGCTGGTGAATTATACATCCCTGTAAGATGTTATAGAGCTGGTGGAATTATACACCCCTGTAAGGTGTTATAGAGCTGGTGAATTATAAACCCCTGTAAGATGTTATAGAGCTGGTGAATTATACCCCCCTGTAAGATGTTATAGAGCTGGTGAATTATACACCCCTGTAAGATGTTATAGAGCTGGTGAATTATACACCCCTCTTCGATGGTGTCCAGCTGAAAGACAGCATTTTGTTTTCCTTAGGAGTCTATGCATTATCATGAAAGTCTGGTGGTCGATGTAGAGGATTTCTATGAGGAGGTTCCGAATGTACTCTTGATAGAGAAATACAAACAGGTCCACAACCTCATTGAAAGCCAGTTCCTGCCTGGATTTGTAAGTACACTCTTAGAATTTATCACATATGAAGCCATTGTAAGTTGTGTAGGTAATTTTTGTCCAAATATGTTCAGTTGAAGAGAACAATCAAGTAGGTATGCTCTATGTTGTTATTACTGATAAAACTGTTAATAAAATATTTGTTTGGTTCATTTTCTACTGATGTATTTCATATAAAACATGTGATGTATTTTACGGAATAAAGATGTTTGAAATTCAAGAATAAACTTGAAAGAAAGTTAAAGATAAATAAAAAATGCTTTAACTCAGGACTAATCTACTCTTTATGACTGTTGATTTCCAGGAATTATAAACACACAATATATTGTTGTTTACGAGGGAAATGTCTATGTAGTCATATTTGATTGTTATTTTTAATTGACAGGTGACAAGTGTAACAGATCAAGTTATCTCCCCTTTGGAGCGTCTGGTTCAGTTTTTCATAGCTCCAAACAAGGTGATACAGAAACGATATGACAAACTGCTTGACTATGACTCCATGTTACGCAAGTCTAAGGATGACAAGGTAAAATAAATTGGTTTATTGTTACTTGGTGGTGTGGCATCCATTATCTGTCCATCAAGTATAATCTGTCCATTCGGCATGAACTTTTCAAAAAACAAATTTTTCTCAATATTGTTGATGCATAAAGTCTTGATATTTGGCCTTTACCTTTCTTGGGTTGAGAGCTCTTACCTTGATATTTGGCCTTTACCTTTCTTGGGTTGAGAGCTATCACCTTGTTTATAAAAATGAGATGAATGGTGATCATGGTTGGCCTAATAGGATGATCTTGCCCCTTCTTGATGGTCACAATGGTCAGTTATATTCTAACCTCCAAACTTCTTATGATCTGTAAGGCCATAAGTAATTTTGTGTTATATGTTTTACTGGGAGGAATTGTTTTTTAACATTTAAATAAATTTATTTATTGTGCTTTGTGCTCTACTTTGGAATAATTATACTAGTTTTGTAAGAAACTTATATTTTAGTATAAGGCATTTATTGGAGTCTAACAATATGACGCAATGGTTTTTTTTCAACCAAATTTGAGGATTTGGGGTGAATATTGCATGTAAACACGCTAGTGAGCTGAGTTGGTTTTGATACCATCTCTGGAGTGGTATTCCCTTGCTTTCCCTGATGTATTGAAAATGACAGGCAAAGAGGCACAATTGTCTTGTAGGTTTTAAATGAGTATGTTTTGGGCAATAACGTACATATGTATTGGTGTGTACACCTGACACAATCAATAAACATATATATATATAACAGTAAAGATGATATTCAGAATAAGATCAATCAACTTGGTATGAATAATAAATGCTAAGTTTGTTTTGTTTTGCGAGCTTTCCAAAATGTCTGTTTCTTTTGTCAAGCAAAGAGTGTATATGCCTGATGTCTCGTAAACGACTCATTAAGCCACAGTGTGCTGAATCAGTAAGGTCAGCTGTCAAAAGTCATAAAGATATTCTGCCAAATAGCACTCTGGAACTGCAGGCAGTCAGGAGGACGGGTAACATGTTGATCCATTCCGCCCTCTAATAATTAGTGGATGTTAAAATGGGATGATATGTTGTGTTTTTCTGTTAACTGTTGTAAGAGATCCACTGTGTCATTAAGGGTAATAGATTCTATTTCTCTCTCCCCAGTCACTTGAGAAGGCTCTGGGAACAACAAAGAAGGACTATGAGGCGATGAATGCCCAGTTACTAGATGAGCTGCCCTCCCTGTACAGCCTGTCACTAAGCCTGCTCCAGGACTGTGTGGCAGCGTTTGTCAGTGCTCAGCAGGCCTACGCTGATGATGTCTTACACAGGATGTCAGAACTTCTAGATGTAAGGCACACAATGGACTCCATGTCTTAATGAAGGAACAAATCAAATTGAAACCTTTTTTTTTCAAATTAGAATTTCATGTGAAAGGTTCCTACTCACCATTTCCAAATATAAAAATGTGAATATCGTCTCCCTTTATTCAGTTCAAATTGTAAATGAATATAAGTGCAGGTAATTAGCAAGAACGAAATAGAATGAAAAATGATTTTGTAATATGGTATATTTATTAGTCCCTGAATGTTACTACAGGAAAGGACTATAGTGTAGGTTTCTCTTTGTCAGTCAGTCAGTCAGACCCTGGTGAAGCCCATCACTCCGTGATAGCGGACAACCAGTTATTATTGGCAGCTGCCTCTGGATAAGTTACAACACTTTGTCAGTCTGGTAACATTACTACCCTGGTGTAGTACAGGGCACTTTGTCAGTCTGGTAACATTACTATCTTGGTGTAGTACAGGTACTTTGTCAGTCTGGTAACATTACTACCCTGGTGTAGTACAGGTCACTTTGTCAGTCTGGTAACATTACTACCCTGGTGTAGTACAGGGCACTTTGTCAGTCTGGTAACATTACTACCCTGGTGTAGTACAGGGCACTTTGTCAGTCTGGTAACATTACTACCCTGGTGTAGTACAGGGCACTTTGTCAGTCTGGTAACATTACTACCCTGGTGTAGTACAGGGCACTTTGTCAGTCTGGTAACATTACTACCCTGGTGTAGTACAGGGCACTTTGTCAGTCTGGTAACATTACTACCCTGGTGTAGTACAGGGCACTTTGTCAGTCTGGTAACATTACTACCCTGGTGTAGTACAGGGCACTTTGTCAGTCTGGTAACATTACTACCCTGGTGTAGTACAGGGCACTTTGTCAGTCTGGTAACATTACTACCCTGGTGTAGTACAGGGCACTTTGTCAGTCTGGTAACATTACTACCCTGGTGTAGTACAGGGCACTTTGTCAGTCTGGTAACATTACTACCCTGGTGTAGTACAGGGCACTTTGTCAGTCTGGTAACATTACTACCCTGGTGTAGTACAGGGCACTTTGTCAGTCTGGTAACATTACTACCCTGGTGTAGTACAGGGCACTTTGTCAGTCTGGTAACATTACTACCCTGGTGTAGTACAGGGCACTTTGTCAGTCTGGTAACATTACTACCCTGGTGTAGTACAGGGCACTTTGTCAGTCTGGTAACATTACTACCCTGGTGTAGTACAGGGCACTTTGTCAGTCTGGTAACATTACTACCCTGGTGTAGTACAGGGCACTTTGTCAGTCTGGTAACATTACTACCCTGGTGTAGTACAGGGCACTTTGTCAGTCTGGTAACATTACTACCCTGGTGTAGTACAGGGCACTTTGTCAGTCTGGTAACATTACTACCCTGGTGTAGTACAGGGCACTTTGTCAGTCTGGTAACATTACTACCCTGGTGTAGTACAGGGCACTTTGTCAGTCTGGTAACATTACTACCCTGGTGTAGTACAGGGCACTTTGTCAGTCTGGTAACATTACTACCCTGGTGTAGTACAGGGCACTTTGTCAGTCTGGTAACATTACTACCCTGGTGTAGTACAGGGCACTTTGTCAGTCTGGTAACATTACTACCCTGGTGTAGTACAGGGCACTTTGTCAGTCTGGTAACATTACTACCCTGGTGTAGTACAGGGCACTTTGTCAGTCTGGTAACATTACTACCCTGGTGTAGTACAGGGCACTTTGTCAGTCTGGTAACATTACTACCCTGGTGTAGTACAGGGCACTTTGTCAGTCTGGTAACATTACTACCCTGGTGTAGTACAGGGCACTTTGTCAGTCTGGTAACATTACTACCCTGGTGTAGTACAGGGCACTTTGTCAGTCTGGTAACATTACTACCCTGGTGTAGTACAGGGCACTTTGTCAGTCTGGTAACATTACTACCCTGGTGTAGTACAGGGCACTTTGTCAGTCTGGTAACATTACTACCCTGGTGTAGTACAGGGCACTTTGTCAGTCTGGTAACATTACTACCCTGGTGTAGTACAGGGCACTTTGTCAGTCTGGTAACATTACTACCCTGGTGTAGTACAGGGCACTTTGTCAGTCTGGTAACATTACTACCCTGGTGTAGTACAGGGCACTTTGTCAGTCTGGTAACATTACTACCCTGGTGTAGTACAGGGCACTTTGTCAGTCTGTTAACATTACTACCCTGGTGTAGTACAGGTACTTTGTCAGTCTGTTAACATTACTATCCTGGTGTAGTACAGGGCACTTGTCAGTCTGTTAACATTACTACCCTGGTGTAGTACAGGGCACTTTGTCAGTCTGGTAACATTACAACCCTGGTGTAGTACAGGGCACTTTGTCAGTCTGGTAACATTACTACCCTGGTGTAGTACAGGGCACTTTGTCAGTCTGGTAACATTACTACCCTGGTGTAGTACAGGGCACTTTGTCAGTCTGGTAACATTACTACCCTGGTGTAGTACAGGGCACTTTGTCAGTCTGGTAACATTACTACCCTGGTGTAGTACAGGGCACTTTGTCAGTCTGGTAACATTACTACCCTGGTGTAGTACAGGGCACTTTGTCAGTCTGGTAACATTACTACCCTGGTGTAGTACAGGGCACTTTGTCAGTCTGGTAACATTACTACCCTGGTGTAGTACAGGGCACTTTGTCAGTCTGGTAACATTACTACCCTGGTGTAGTACAGGGCACTTTGTCAGTCTGGTAACATTACTACCCTGGTGTAGTACAGGGCACTTTGTCAGTCTGGTAACATTACTACCCTGGTGTAGTACAGGGCACTTTGTCAGTCTGGTAACATTACTACCCTGGTGTAGTACAGGGCACTTTGTCAGTCTGGTAACATTACTACCCTGGTGTAGTACAGGGCACTTTGTCAGTCTGGTAACATTACTACCCTGGTGTAGTACAGGGCACTTTGTCAGTCTGGTAACATTACTACCCTGGTGTAGTACAGGGCACTTTGTCAGTCTGGTAACATTACTACCCTGGTGTAGTACAGGGCACTTTGTCAGTCTGGTAACATTACTACCCTGGTGTAGTACAGGGCACTTTGTCAGTCTGGTAACATTACTACCCTGGTGTAGTACAGGGCACTTTGTCAGTCTGGTAACATTACTACCCTGGTGTAGTACAGGGCACTTTGTCAGTCTGGTAACATTACTACCCTGGTGTAGTACAGGGCACTTTGTCAGTCTGGTAACATTACTACCCTGGTGTAGTACAGGGCACTTTGTCAGTCTGGTAACATTACTACCCTGGTGTAGTACAGGGCACTTTGTCAGTCTGGTAACATTACTACCCTGGTGTAGTACAGGGCACTTTGTCAGTCTGGTAACATTACTACCCTGGTGTAGTACAGGGCACTTTGTCAGTCTGGTAACATTACTACCCTGGTGTAGTACAGGGCACTTTGTCAGTCTGGTAACATTACTACCCTGGTGTAGTACAGGGCACTTTGTCAGTCTGGTAACATTACTACCCTGGTGTAGTACAGGGCACTTTGTCAGTCTGGTAACATTACTACCCTGGTGTAGTACAGGGCACTTTGTCAGTCTGGTAACATTACTACCCTGGTGTAGTACAGGGCACTTTGTCAGTCTGGTAACATTACTACCCTGGTGTAGTACAGGGCACTTTGTCAGTCTGGTAACATTACTACCCTGGTGTAGTACAGGGCACTTTGTCAGTCTGGTAACATTACTACCCTGGTGTAGTACAGGGCACTTTGTCAGTCTGGTAACATTACTACCCTGGTGTAGTACAGGGCACTTTGTCAGTCTGGTAACATTACTACCCTGGTGTAGTACAGGGCACTTTGTCAGTCTGGTAACATTACTACCCTGGTGTAGTACAGGGCACTTTGTCAGTCTGGTAACATTACTACCCTGGTGTAGTACAGGGCACTTTGTCAGTCTGGTAACATTACTACCCTGGTGTAGTACAGGGCACTTTGTCAGTCTGGTAACATTACTACCCTGGTGTAGTACAGGGCACTTTGTCAGTCTGGTAACATTACTACCCTGGTGTAGTACAGGGCACTTTGTCAGTCTGGTAACATTACTACCCTGGTGTAGTACAGGGCACTTTGTCAGTCTGGTAACATTACTACCCTGGTGTAGTACAGGGCACTTTGTCAGTCTGGTAACATTACTACCCTGGTGTAGTACAGGGCACTTTGTCAGACTGTTAACATTACTACCCTGGTGTAGTACAGGGCACTTTGTCAGTCTGGTAACATTACTACCCTGGTGTAGTACAGGGCACTTTGTCAGTCTGGTAACATTACTACCCTGGTGTAGTAAAGGACACTTTGTCAGACTGTTAACATTACTACCCTGGTGTAGTACAGGGCACTTTGTCAGTCTGGTAACATTACTACCCTTGTGTAGTACAGGTACTTGGTCAGAGTGTTAACATTACTACCCTGGTGTAGTACAGGGCACTTTGTCAGAGTGTTAACATTACTACCCTGGTGTAGTACTGGGCACTTTGTCAATCTGTTATCATTGATGGCCTGAATTAGTCCCAGACACTATAACTGGAGACCTCGATTATAGTCTGACTGTTTGGTGACCTCTGCTATTGTAGCCCTTTGAGATGATTTTTTTTCTTGATTATCTATTGTTGTTTTAGTTGTCGTCGTTGCTGTGTACAGATCACAGTGTGATGGATGTATTTAACCACAAGCACGTGTCTATAGTGGACAGAATGTCACTACTCTCCTTCATACCCAAGGGCTTCAACCCTCGCATGGAGCTTATCAAACAGGACAAGAAGGCTAAACAAAAGACAATGGATGTCGCAGACAAGGTAACAGGCACTGAATGATGAGCTGGCCTCTGATGGAGATCACAGACACTAAATCCCATCTCTCACACTAGATGACATGTGTGTCACACTAGATGACATAAGTCCCGCCAGATGACATGTGTGTCACACTAGATGACATATGTCCCGCCAGATGACATAAGTCCCACTAGATGACATAAGTCCCACTAGATGACATAAGTCCTACTACATGACATAAGTGCCACTAGATGACATAAGTGCCACTACATGACATAAGTCCCACTAGATGACTTATGACAGAAGTCCCACTAGATGACTTAAGTCCCACTAGATGACACAAGTCCCACTAAATGACATAAGTCCCACTAGATGAAAAAGTGCCACTACATGACATAAGTCCCACAAGATGACATAAGTCCCACTAAATGACATACGTCCAACTAGATGACATAAGTCCCCCTACATGACATAAGTCCCACTAGATGACATAAATCCCACTAGATGACATAAGTCCAACTACATGATATAAGTCCCACTACATGACATAAGTCCAACTAGATGACATAAGTCCCGCTAGATGACATCAGTGCCACTACATGACATAAGTCCAACTAGATGAAATAAGTCCCACTAGATGACATAAGTCCCACTTAATGACATAAGTCCCACTAGATGAAAAAGTGCCAATACATGACATAAGTCCCACTAGATGAAAAAGTGCCACTACATGACATATGTCCCACTAAATGACATAAGTCCAACTAGATGACAAAATCCCACTAAATGACATAAGTCCCACTAGATGACATAAGTCCAACTACATGATATAAGTCCCACTACATGACATAAGTCCAACTCTATAACATAAGTCCAACTAGATGACAAAATCCCACTAAATGACATAAGTCCCACTACATGACATAAGTCCCACTAGATGACATGTTTCCCTTTCACTTTAAACAGTTTAAACCAATATGGATAACCAATGAGTTATAGAGGGATAAAACAGCTGTATGGTGCAGTGTACTGGTAGGTCATTTTTGGCATGCTGTATCAATAACTAACTTTACAGGTGAAGTGTAATGTAACACATTGTCATAGGTGTGTCTTAATTTCATCCGACACAACATGACATATGTGTCACACTAGATGACATGTGTGTCACACTCAATGACACGTGTTACACTATATGACATATGTGTCACACTAGATGACATGTGTGTCACACTACATGACATATGTGTCACACTCAATGACATGTGTTACACTATATGACATATGTGTCACACTCAATGACAATGGTTACACTATATGACATATGTGTCACACTCAATGACATGTGTTACACAACATGACATATTTGTCACACTAGATGACATGTGTGTCACATTACATGACATGTGTGTCACACTCAATGGCATTTGTTACACTATATGACATATGTGTCACACTCAATGACAT